CTGCAGGGAACTCTGCAAAAAACGCATCTTCGCACGGGCAGCCCGTGCGTTGGCCAATTTTTACTTCCTGCTACCTTCATCTCTCGTAGGGTGTGAATATGAAGAAAGTTTTGTTTTTAAATGTTGAGTCATGAAACGTAGAGACCACCATGAATGTCAAAACTGTCATCGCAACAATCTGGTGCTTCTGGAATAAAATTATATCAGCCCCCTTCGATCTTCAATTGCTAAGTCTCAGTTTGCATGCTCATCTCCTCTTTTACCTGCACCAGGAGAATGATCGAACTTCTCCCTCAATCCTGATTACACAGCGCTTTAGCGCAAGTTCTATCTGATAGAAGCGTTAGTTCAGTTGAGTTGGTTCCCTCTTGATAGTGTAATTTGCGGATTTAGTCATATAATCCCGATGCTTGCTCTAATTTTATGAAAAAATTACAAACGCAAGAACCTTACCTCCGTAAAAGCCTCCAAAAAGCACCAAGCGTGGATTCCGCTGATAATTTTGATAGCTTTTATTGATTAGTTGGATAAACTTTGCTGCATCTTCAACAGCCTGTTGGCTTGTAAGATAAATCAGCTGTTGAACAGAAGCTGTTTCGCCAGTCCTGCGCGAAATTAAAATTTGTATTGAAGATCTAATAATTTTTTACTCTCTTCAAAATCGTTTGAGGAGGAATGGAAAAAATAGGGAGGAAAAAACAAAAAAAGGTTATCACTTCCGTCAGCGACCATATTTCGAATCCATACGTCATTGCCTTTACTGGGGGTGATACTGGATAGAAGCGCTCAGTCGTTACTGTTCAACACTTTGAGGACGACGACGATGCTGTGAAATTTATTTCAACAAGCCTTCTATGCTTCAACTTTTCTGAAGTCTGTTCTTTATTTATACTTCCTAACCACTTCCGGAAAATTTTAAACTTCTTGCTACCCCAGAATTCTGTAGATTGCTATGATGACTAGTACAGTGAGCAATGAAGCTTCATCCTCATAAGTTCATAAAGTACATAAAGTATCGCAAAATTTTGCGTGCAGTAGAGTAAGTTCTTGTAGCTGTTGGCTTAACAAATGGAAAGCTTGTGTGCCGAAAACCCAGAAGATCTGATAGCGCAATGGTCTAGCATAATACCGGGAGAGAACCCAAGTAGGACGGATGAGGATTCGAATCTTGCTGGCCTCTACTCACTCTAACATCAGAATAAAGCAATTTCCCTTCCATGTGCCGATAATTTTGCGCAAAACAGAAACATTCAAATTTTACTCAAAAATTTTGCAAGCTTTTTTCAACCTCCAAGAACTCTAAAAGACAAACTTCGAGGATAATGGTTGACTTTCACCGTAGAATCGATGTTCGAGGCAATAGATAGCGGCATGGAACTTCTTAGCCCATTCGACAACCATACTATCTTTACTTGCGGCGCAGAATGCGTCAATTCTTTCATTACTGCCAAGAATCAGAAAAATAGGTCCATCCTCTTCAGCATGCTCGAAATTGTAACAGTACCGCTGAAAATGAGCAGTAATAACAAAATCTTTATATTATTGCACTGGTCAGTGTTTCAGCCGCACATTTGACAACTTTTCCAATTGCTTTGACCAACGCCTGCTAATGGTCCAACTTTTATTTCGTTTCCGCATGAAATTACCATTATGCTTCTTCCAGAAGAAAAACTTGACAAAATTTAGCTGTTTCGAAATATTGCTGGTCTTCTTGGACAAAATCACATCGTTTTAAACGTTGCCAGTCCTAGACAATGATAGGCAGAATTATTGCGTTGAAAAATTTTGCAGATTTTTATCCAACTTAGAAACAACATAAATGGTATAATACAACAATAAGAAATGTGGTATTACTGCAGTACTACAGTTACTACAATATATTTATCACAGTATTACAGTAATACTACGGTATCACAATATACTACAGTACTGCAGTAGAGTGCTATGCTGTCTTTTATTACCGAATTATTACCGTACTGCTGTGATGTTTTGGTATTACAGCAATACCGCAGTAAGAAAAGACTTCACGCTTTGGATCGCATCATTTCTCAATTTTCCTTTCATTTGCATTAGGTCTCGAATCTAACTGTCAAGGCTGGACGCATGTAAAACAAGCAAAATAGAAAAAATAATATGAAACTACAAGGAAAAACCATGCGGAAA